ATAGAATGACATAGAATGATTTGTCTTCTATGAAATAGTCCATAAAGGATGTTGCAAGAGTCTTTTTCAAAATGAAGGAAAGGTAGTTTGGGCACTAGTTCCATCACAGGTGTTTTGGGTTAAGCAGTCAATTACCGTGGGTTTATAGGAGAAAAAAAAGCAAACTGGAATTTATGCTAACATCTTAGAGCGATATCAACATTAGACTGATAAACCCTCAAATGAATGTTTTTCAAACTGTGTATTCTGGAGGGAAACTAAATGCTCAAATTTGGAACCACTTATCCTTATAATATCAACATGCCTCTGAAGAGCTGTTTTATGTCAGAGCCTCCTTTAATAACCTTCTTTTTAAAGAAATAAACATTTTGAAAGTCACATTTTCTGAAAAGAATGGCCTGAGATATAACACTAGTAACTTTGGGATAGATCTTTTGTTTGCCAGTCTACCTTCTCAGTGACTGTAAATTTGAAATGGATGGTTGTACCCTTAGGCACATGTGAATACAATCCCCTGACCCCACTGCTTATACAAAGTCATAAGGGTCAGAGTAGCGGGTCTGAAAGTCTCAAATCTCCAGCTTCAGCTATGGCAAAATTTACTAGGTTAGAGTTCCAGCCTCACATATTTCCCTCTCAGATTTTTGTGTGAGAATAATAATCATTTCTTTAGAAGGTATCACCTGAAGCCCGTCTTTACTCACTGTGTGGTTGATGAAACTGAGAAATAATATGCCCATATATTTGCTGCTCAAATGGTTTCATTTCTCTATACTCACTGGGACATTGTCCTGAATTTATACTTTCTGGGTTCACCTTTTTCTTAGGATGAATTCTTTCTCATGAGGCTGCTCTATACTCCATGCCTAGTGCATTAAACCTAGCGACGTTCTAGTTATGCCTAAGCATGCCTAAATCCCAAGGAGCTGAAGGTTGGGCTCAAGCTGGTGTCCTTATCATCCTTTTATTTAATATTCTTTTCACTACCCAAGCCCATTTCCATTTTCACTGTATATCCATCCAATCCTTAACCCTTATATATCTATTGATTTTAGCTAGAAATCAAAAATAAGGATCACCTTTGAAAAATAAAACCACTATGATACACACCTACATAAAATTTTTCTACATCAAATATTTTAGGGAGGCTTTCTTCTTTATATATTTGCAATATCTAAAACATGCTGGGGCGCCTGGGTGGCTCAGTCGGTTAAGTGTCCGACTCTCAATTTCAGCTCAGGTCATGAGCTCATGGTTTCATGAGTTCAAGCTCCGCGGCGGGCTCTGCACTGACAGTGTGGAGACTGCTTGAGATTCTCTCTCTTCCTCTCTCTCTGCCCCTCCCCCACTCACACTGGCTTGGTGTCTCTCAAAATAAATAAAACTTAAGAAATATTAAAAAAATAAGACAAGCTGTACTTTTAAAAAGAAAATTCAACATTTTCGAACACATTTAATAAAAGATTCACTATTTTTAATACATGCAATATAGTCTGGGTCCCATTAGCACTTTTAGCAAAAACAACTGTTCAGCCATTCAAAAGGGTTAGTCAACATGATCAACACAGGTATATTGTGTCTGAAGGGGTGATCACATAGTTACTGTTCTATTGGTGTAGCTCAAGACCCAGAGCAACTGAACAAGCATTAACTTATGGAATCTTAATAGTCACCTCGTTGCTGAAGTAAAAAGGAAACCAAAAGGAAACTTAATAATATCAAAAGTTATTTTAAAGGGAGTTCACATTGGTTTGAAGACTACTTTTCTTCACACACAATATCCACCTTTGTCAAGCCAAGAAACCCATATTTGTAACCAACACACATCTTTACAGTTTTCAGAACATAAATCTTCAGGGAAGTATTATTCCTGCACAGATAAAAATTAAAACTTTGAAAATCTCTAGAATGATAATAAAAGATACTCTCTAGCAAACCAAAGGAAACTTGGAACTTTGTGTTAAGTGCTTATTTAACTATAAAAGGGGCAGTGTGTGTTGTAATGAATGGAAAACCGATTTTACTCTATTCCATTTGTGAACATCTTGTGGCAACCTATTTTAGTATTAGAGAGATCATATATTAAAAAATGATTTCTGCAGTCACCAATGTATACAAGTAAAAATTTGGTTCCTGTTAAATTAACACTTCATTAAAAAAATCAAAATAAAAGCTCAACAAATACATTTTATGTTGTACTGCAAGATAGAAAAAAATTTTGAAGAACAGATTGCCAGTTATTCTATTCCATAACAGCTAAGTTTCTCAGTTCTTTCTTTCTTTCTTTTTTTTTTTTTTTCTTTTGCTGAGCTCTCTGTCACTGGAAACATCTTAAACCAATTTCAAGTGCTACACCTGAATAAACATGTTGTAAAAGTGTTTATGTATTGAAGTGGGTCAGTTCAAGGTATGGTATTTGGCTGGAACTTCTAATTTCTCTTTTTACAGCAAAAGGGCTGCCAGAAGGAGGAAGTCTGAGCTGAATTAATACATTTGTTACAGTGGAAGTCGAATGGAAACTGCTCTGACCACAAATCAAACTGCCTCTTTCATTTATGCCAGTGATAGAGTTTTTCTAAGAAATATAGACTCTGGCATAGAGCCACTGTAAGTTTGCATTTAAAAAGAGGAACCTATATGCTTATTTGTTTAAGGTTTGCTGCTTTGATTATTTGTAAATACTTTGGTAGGACTGAGCCTAGTGGCGTTTGTGAGGCAGATAGCCATTTTCATAACTGTGGGAACTGAGTTTTCCTGAGACGTTGTAGAACAATTGATGATACGGATGCAACTTGGATTAGCACGCACTCTTCTTTTTTCCCCCCTTTTAACCAATACCTCCACATTTAAAGGACCTCTGTGTCCCTCTCAACAGCTGCACAGCCTCACATGACACAGTCTCATTTTCTGACGGTAGAAGGTCTCTGCACAATACAAGTATACACAAAAGTGTTTATGCTGCCAAAATAAATTTTGTTAAGAGCAAGAGTTTATTTGCTAAAATGCCATTGATGCCGTTTCAAGGACTTGTTTTCCTTCCCTTTCTTCTAAGGTGGGTCAGGTCTTATAATGGACTGAGGTTACTCCACAGTCTTTGCTGAATAAATATTTTAAGAAAACATGCTCATCTCTCAGGGGGCGAGGCAGAGTCAATCATGCACATATTTCAAGCCACATTATATATATTACTCTTAAAAGATTGGTAACTTCTGTATCTAGAGTAGAAACTTTGCATGAGTTTTTAGCAATTCTCAACTAAATTTACAACCTAAGGTTAAACAGTTATTCCTCCTTGGGTGATTTTCATAGAACTAGATATCAGACTAGAACTGGAAGATTATATATATA